TGATCTTCAGATGATCTGTAAATTCAGGTGGGATATATTCAAGGTCATATTTTGGCTCTTGTGGACTTGTTTTCATTTTCTTTAGCTTCAGTTTGAATTTGCATATGAGTAATTGATGGTCTGTTCCACAATCTGCCCTTGCCCTTCTTTTGACTGATGATACAGAGCTTTTCCATCTTCTCTTTCCGCAGAGGTAGTCAATTTGATTTCTATGTATTGCATTAGTAAAGTACACAGAGAAAACATTCTTAATCAAGGGTGCCCAATATGTGTTCTACCTAATCTTTAAGATGAGTCTTTTTAAACAAGTCTTTATCAAGCTACACAGTGTGAAATCAATACATGATGATATCATACAAGTTTATCAGTATGTACCATTAAGCAAAGTCGATCAAAGAGAGTTTGTTCTAATCCATTTCCGTGAGCAGCATCAGAACCCTGAATAGTAGGAGGTAGCTGTCTGGGGTCTCCAACGAGAATCAGTTTTTCACATTCAAACCTATAAACAGAATTTTGAAAATTAATCTAGGTAATGGCAAAAGGGGCATTTACAAAATGTTTCCTACAATATATTCTAAATACTCTGAATTCCATGGAGTTTTCTATGAACTAAAAAGGCCTAATAGTGCTAGTAAGAGTATTAATGGCTCTGAGAAGTCATGCAGGAAAGAAACCTTTACATAACTTTATTTTTTCATAAACCTATTAAGTGTTCACTACTCCTATACAAAATTAGTACACAATTTTTTGGCAAACACTGATTTTAAGAATCCAATGACACAGGATCAGAAGGTTTCTAAATGTTGTTTGGCTTTAATCTCTTATTTGAGATAAAGTGAATTAGGCTTGTTGTTGTTAAGTGCCATTGAGTCGGTTCAGACCCATAGTGACCCTGTATAGGGTTTAGGGTTTCCAAGGAGCAGCTGGTGAGCTTGAACCGCCGACCTTGCAGTTCAAACGGCTTTGCAGTCTGGCACATTAACCCACAGCACCACACCTGGACTCCTTGGAGGGGCTAAATGTCTTTCTAAATAACAGCTGGATACACTGGGAAAAGTCCATGTTTTATAGACACACCTATATCCAAATATCAGCACTATTATAGTCTATGGACAAAAAGTTATTTAATGTTTCCAAGGTTCAGTATCTTTAGCAGTAACCTGGAGGTAATAATATCTTGTATGATTGTTGTAAGGATGAAATGAGATATGTAATGTGCTGAGTATAAAGTCATTGCTACACAAGTGTAATTCCCTTAACCTTTACTCTGGACCTTGAGCTTTCTCCACCCCTAATCCCTAAGTAGGGTGTCCAATTTGTCTAAAATTTTCCAGGACTGTTCATCTCAAATGGAAAGTCTTGTGACTGGGAGCTCAAGTCCCAGGTCATTCCCTGCTCCCTTGTTAGTTAGGGACAGAGCACGGACTAGAACTCAGGCCTACTGAGTCCAGTCTAGTACTCATTCCACTACCTTTGCATCAATAAGAGACGTTTTAAAATCACGATGTTCCAATTTACCAGGACAGCAAAGATTTCAAAGTCTACATTTTTTAGGTGACAAACTTTTATTTTTATCTATTTTCCCTTTATATAAAGTATATACTTTCATAATCTAGAAATTATTGTTAGAATTGAAACACTACAATTATGGCAAAGTAGGAGACTAATGAATATTCGTCAAGAAAGTTAGGTCCTCAAACCATGACTAAATAGGAATCTTTAGTCTAGTTGAGAAATCTGCAAGATTCTAGGTAGAACCCATGCACTACGGCTTTAAGACTTTAAGCATTATAAGGACCAAGCGTTTAAACTGGTATCAACCAAAATTTTGATACAGTAACTACAAGTTCATTCTGTATTCTTCCTTTTTCCTTCTTTTTAAATATCAGTTTAATATACGAATTGCTGGGGAAAAAAAAAAAAAACTTAGCAATGTTTAGTAAGAAACTGAACTGGGAAAATATTTGAAATAATTGTGACATGTGAGTGTTTTCTAAAAAAGACTATTTCATGTTACCTTGCAATGGGAAGGAGAGAAGCCGGTTCAGTTATTTGACTGCATTCATCTAGCACAACTACAGGAAATTTAAGGTCATTCAGGCATGGGAATGGACAGGCTGCACAGGTAACTCCAATGACTCGGACCTTTATTATAACAAATGTTATTAATTAACAACTGTTAAAATAAGAGCTCATATTTACCAAAAAAATCTGTATGTTAAAATAAAGAACAAAGATAGTCACAAGTAAATTACTGTCAATCATAAATCACAGGTAACTTATCTCTATATTTTCATGATTTCCACAGATAAAAAGGAAATAACATAATATAGGCTACTTAGACTTAAACTACAACCCATTAACAAGAACAAGTGAGAGGTATATTTATTTATAATATCAAGGATTTAAAAAGTATCATGGATGGCATACATATTTTATTCTTCCAGATGAAGGTGACTACACCATTATTATAGCAACACAGGCCAAAGTTCTCAACAAAGATCATTAAAGATACTAATAAACTGCTCTTTGTGAAACCTTTAAGCATACTAGTATTTTTATGAAGGTAAAGATGCCAATTCCAAACATGAGTAAATGAAAATATACTTATATTCTATTTACTGTAGTTGTTAGGTGCTATTGAGTCAGTTCTTACTCATCATGACCCTGTTTAGGGTTTCTAAGGCACGACTAGTGGATTTGAACCATTGACTTTAGATTTAGCAGTCCAGTGCTTATCCTATACCAGGACTCCTCTCATAGTCTATAAATACATTTAAATTTCAACAGTTCTGAATATTATGTAGAAGGTCACTATTTTTTAGGCATAAAAGTCTGATAAAGTCAATATTTAATCTCTGGGATTAGATATTAACAAGAGCCATTACCAGCTCCTATACTATCTAATCAATGAGAGACAGTGGCCAACACTGGGCAAATCCACCCTAAACTGCACTACACTAACAGCAGAGAACTGTCACACACAGGTGTCTCTATCACACCCACCTCAAGGCAGGTGGTGAGTGCCTAAGAACACAGCATACAATCATCAGATAAACACAAAGACACCAAAATGTTTCAGAGACAACAGCAAATATTAGTTCACACAAAGAAAAAAGACAGACTGGCTCAAACAAGTTAACAAAATGCAGAAATGTTTCTAAGGAAGCAAAAATATTGGAACTACCTCACAAAAATTTTTACAGAATGATTATTAAGGTGCCTTCAATGGATTGGGAGAAAGATCAAGAAAGCTGCAGAGGAAAGCAAAGAAAACATAGAAAAAACTTTATGAATTAACGGAAGGTCAAATTAATGAGTTTACAGACAGATCTCTCAATATTAGTCTGCTAGAAGAACAATCAGAAAAAAAGAAGGAAAAAATCTAAAGAAAATATAAGATTTACTTGGAATATCATCAAAAGAAATAGCTTACATGTGAATGGAATTCCAGAAAAGAGACAACAACAACAAAAAATCACAGAGTAAATTGTTGAAGAGTTATTGGAAGAAAACTTCATTAATGCCATTAAAGATGAGGAAGCTGAATGAACTCAAAGCTGAATGAACCCAAACACATAAGATCCCAAGAGAAAATCACCAAGGCATATTACAATAAAAAATTCCAAAACAAAAGGAAAATTTACCTACAAAAGAAAAACAATAAGACCAAGCAGGCAAGAAGGCAGTGGGATGGATGACATACATAGAACTCTGAAGGAAAAAAACTTGTCAATCAAGAATCATATACCCAGCAAAACTATACCATAAATATAACAGCAAAATTAAGACATTTCCAGATACAAAGAAATTAAAGAATTGTTTTGTGTGTGTGTGTGTGTTTTAAGGACTGGTATGTATCCTTTCTTTAAATCAGCAAACTCATATTCCTCAAGGCCCATACCCTGGTGGCAGCTCTCTCTCCTCTGTGCCCTTAGCCACAGCAAGGGGAATGGAAAATGAAAAGCCAAGAGGGCCTCTGCTAAGGAAGGCTGTCCCAGATGTGTAGTGAACAAAGTCCAGCTGTGGCATGAGTGGCAGCCACCACAGTTAAATCTCTGCTGCCACAGTTTGTGGAAGAAAAGGCCAGTCCAATGTCAGAAGGTCAGGAAACAACAACACCCCTGATCCCAGCCCAGGAATGGATGGAGGGCAGAGCCCAGGGAAAAGAGAGATCAGCAGGGAAGAGAAGAATTTTGGTCCCAAGATAAAAGAAGAAGCCAGTTGGTTCAGTTTTAGGGAGTTTGGGGAAGGGAATGGGATTGTATTAGTAACTACAAGAGAGACCACATTTCGGAACCTCCAGGGAAATAAACCAGACTAGTCCTCAACTAGAACACATGCAGGCCTCTGGGGGTTCTCAGGAATGACATTGCTCTTTAAATAAAAAAGTCTGGTGTGACACTGCAAGTTAATGTGATGAACTGTAATGTAGGCTTGAACCAAAAGGTTGGCGGTTCAAGCTTACCAGCTGCTCCTCAGAAAGCCTTTACAGGGTCTCTACATATATATATGTATATATCTATATCCATTGTTTTCTGGATCAAGACACTCAGCTGTTCTAGGAGCTGCCATCTTGGGAGAGCATATCTTGATTGTATCAGGATTGATAGTATCAGGAGAGAATATCTTAATTGTATCTTGATTACATCAGGATTGTATCAAGATTGACATCGAAATTGAAAATGAGTGTCAAGATAAAACCAAACGGCCACCACTCGTCTGTCTGTCGTGCTGTCATCGCTTGAGTTGCTGATTCTGAGGGTTATGCCACCAGTATTTTAAATAACCAGCAGGGTCACCTATGGTGGACAGGTTTCAGATGAGCTTCCAGACAAAGACAGACTAGGAAGAAAGAGTGACGAACTACTTCCGAATCGCTAGTCACT